TAAGTAAATAAAAAAAAATTTTACAATTATTTTTTTTTTTGCATCCCGGTGCCTTTTAATAATAAATTGTATTATTATTATTCGGGTCTTATTGTAATATTAATTTAAAAAAAAAAAAAAAAAAAAAAATGAATAATTTTTATTTGATGTGTTAATGTTTAATAATTATTCAAACCATGTGCCAAACTTATTAAATATTTAATTCTTTATTAATTTTTAACGTGCGCCAAAATTTTTTTTTAAATTTTTTGCACTTCTTCATTAGTTCTTGATAATAATAATATTTAAAATATTAAAAATTATTAAATTGTAATCTTTTCAAATTTTAAATGGATAAAATTAAATTTTTTCAATTTTTTTTTTTGCACATAAACAAAATTTTGCTCTAATTTTATAGTCTAATCGAAATTCATTTAATTCAAATCATTCAAAATTAGAAAAAAATAATAATAATAATATAATCTACAAATTTTTTATTTTATATTATTTTAATTTGTACTTTACAAAAGAAAAAGTGTACTTAAATTTTTTATTTTTAGTGTTTAATTTAGTTAAGAAAATTTTATTTTATAATTTAAACGTTTTTAATTTTTTTTTTTTATATATAAAATATATTTTAAATAAATTTAATTTTTTTTTATATATTTTTATCAATTTAAGTAAATTTTTTTATGAACGGATAATGTTTGTGTAAAAAAAAATATTTTTTATAGGATATAAATATTATTATTTACTATTTATAGAATAAATTACTCTTTTAAATAAATTTCCTTGTTTGTTTGTTTGTTTGTTTAAATATTAATTTATCAGAAAAATTTTAAAAAAATAATATTAAAAATATGTTATTAATAATATTTATTATCGGGTTTTAAAATTATTATTATGATTATTTTAAGTATTTATATATTATTAAAAATTATTAATTTAATTTGTTAACTTTTAATGTATTTTAATCGTTTTTTTCAGATACTTGTTGAAATAGGATTTTAGTAATATTTGATGAAGCCAAGGTCGACGAGTAGTCATCCAATGTGTGTTTGTTGTTGTTGTTGTTGTTCTCGTGCAATTCCTGGAATTTGATTATCGTCCTTTCGTGTGAAATGGAAAATTCATTTAGTCCCATCAAGACCGTATGTTACGTCTTTCCACAACGTCAGGTAAGTTTATTATTATTTTATTTTTTTTATTTTTCACGCTTTATTTAAAAGTTTATTAATTATTTTCTTTAATATTAATATAGAGGCTATTTAAAAAAATTAATAATGAATTGGAAAAATTATTAAATTTTCATTTAAAAAAAAAAAAAAAAAAATTTTTTTGAAATATTACCTCATTGAACGATGACCGATTGAAATTTTATTTTCTTTCTATTAATTTTTTTTAATTTGAATTAAATTGTTTTTGAAAATAATTTTTTAGTTTATTTAACTTCCAATTGATGAAGAGAAATATACTAAATTTTTTGTTTTTAGTAAAGATTTTATTAAAATTTTATATTTATTGGGAAAGGTTTTAAGTGATGAAAATAATCCCCCAATGCCCTGAATCATTTTCCTTATAATGCGTGTTGTAGTAGTAACGATTAAATTTTTTTTTTAGTTATAAATTACGATTAATTAATTATATATTTAAAAAAAAAAAACAAGTTTTAAAAAAAATTTTCTCATGTTTTTTAACTTTTTAAGTGTCAAAAGGTAAAACACATTTAAATATCTCAGTGCGTGGGACTTTAGTTGCATAATTTTTTGTGAGAAATGTGATATCTTTACGAGTTCTGAAAAAAAAAAAAAAAATTTTTTTGTTTTAATAAATCCTTCTTTATAATCCTTGAACTTAAGTTTTTTTTTTTTTTTTTATTTAATTTTTTTTTTTTTTTTGCGTCATTGACAAACGATATAGTTATAATATGTTAAAATAGAACTTTCACTTTTCAGTTTTTGTTTGTTTGGTGATACTGTGACATATCGCAATTCAAACTATGGATTATGTAACAAAAACGGCGGTAAGTTTTTTTTTCTTTTTTTTTAATAACAATTATTTCGTTTTAATTATTTTTATTTTATTATTTACAGTTTTTATATTATCTGATGATTCCGTTAAAAAAAAACTCGACAAACAAAGACACTTAATATTGTTAGTAACGTTTTCATAACATTTTAATTTCAATTTCGTTTTAAGTTGGCAGTACTGTTGGCAGTACTGTTGGCTAAACTGTTTTTTTTTTAGTTGACGTTAAAATGTCGTTGATGAAAGGTGTAAACTTTGTGCTAGTAAAAAAATTAAAGATTTACGTTAATTATTTATTAAGTTAATATTTATTTCTTAATTTAATTTTATTTTAATATTTTCTCTTTAAAATTGAATAAGTAATGTGCCATTTTTTTTATTTTTTCTATAATTTATTCAGTGTTTTAAAACTTGTGAAAATTTCTAACGATATTTAACGGATTTTTAATTACAGTTTTTTGTGTGCGCTTTGTGGTGGAGTGCTTTAGCTGGACAAGTTTATGATGAAACACCACCGCCTAAGCCGTATGTTTTCAGTTACAGTGCTGGAAGGATGCCTGGACACGTAGATAGAGTACATAGCGAAGTTGGCGACGAATATGGGAGAATTAGAGGTTTGTCATTGATTTTACTTCCTTAAATAAATTTTTGAAATTTGTAAAGAAAAACCTTTTTTGTAATTGTAATGTACTAACAGGTTCTTATTCATATGTGGACCCCAGACAACAAGTTCGTACTGTAGAATATCTAGCAGATCAGAATGGTTTTCAACCTCTTTTAATAACTAACCCAACACAAGACACAAGAGCTGTACAAAATGCTAAAACCAAACATTATGTTTTATACAATCAAATAGCTGCAGCTCACCAAAGAGAGGCGGAAGAAAGGGGCCATACCGAAACATTTGAAGACTATTCTGACGATGACTCTGGTTTTGATCCTAACTTATTAATAAGTCACCCTCAAGACACACCAGTTGTTGAAAGAGCCAAATTGAAACATTATGATTTGTATAATAAAATAGCATTAGAACATGCTAAAATTGCTGCTGAAAGAGGAGACTATGAACAAAATTCATCAAAAGAAGACATTGTAAAAATCGGTTATTGAAAGTTTTATTCGAGAGAAATAAAAACAACTTAAATATATTAATAATTTGAAATGGACAAAATTTTTCATTTTTTTTTTCGGCTCTTAAATTTTAAAAATTAAATAAAATTAAATATAAAATAGTACAATTTTTACAATAATATAAATATTACCATTTTTTTTAATATATTTATTTGATTTTCCTCATCAAATTTTATTAAATTATGTTTTTTTTTTTTTTTAAATCGGAAAAACTTTAAGGAAAATTAAATTTGATTTTATAATAAGATTCAAAACCATATATATATTTAAAAAATAAAATAACAGTATTTTATTATCATTATTATTATTACTTAAACTATTCTTCACACATTTTTTTACTTAATAATTATTATTTAAATTTAAATACCTATTATTATTATTTTAAATAGTTAGTCCAACTATAATAATTAAAAAAAAAAAACACAAAATCACATTTGAAAAAAAAACACCAGAAATTTTTTTTTTTTTTTTTTTTTTTACAAAATATTATATTATTAATAAATATAATTTCAATTTTTTTTCAGGAAATATACAAGAAAAAGTTATTTAAATAAATAATTTATACACACACACACGTAAGTAAAATAAATACAACAAAAAATAAATATTAAAAAATTTTTATCAACAATATAAAACGAAAAAAAAAAAATTTTAAATGCTAACTTTTTTTTTTTTTTTTACTAACATTAATTTAAAACATTTTTTTTTTTTTCGTAAGGGTCCCTTTGTTTTATTGTTTAATAATAATTATATTTTTAATATATATATATAAAAAATTACAACATATGTACATTAAAATAAAATAATAACTTTTTTTAATTTAGTTAAAATACTACTGCGGCTACTACTACTACGTGATTCATATTAAGATCCATATTCACGTGAAATGTGTTGTTATTTAACGGTAAGTTTTTTTAATTTTTTTAAATTTTTTTTTTATAAATAATTTAATTTAATTTTTTTTAGTTGATAATTTTTGTTATATGAGAGGATATTCGTTGTCTCGAAATTTTCATTTTTTTTTTTTTTATCCAACATTAAATTCCTATTTAATTTATAACGGTTAAAAGAAATTTTTTTTTTTTGATAGCAACATCATTAAAAATTGCGAATCAATACTCTTTTTTTTTTTAAATTTTACAATTAATAAATTAATTCACACAAATAATTATTTAAGTGCAACATAATGAACTTTTGATACTTTTTTAAGGCATTATTTTCCATTTTATTTTATTAATAAATTTATTATTAAAATTAATAATTTAAATAAAGGTGATGAGTAAGTAAATTACAAATAACAGCTTCCTTATGAGTGTGTGTTATAAAAAAATAAAGCGCTAATCATTTTTTGGTATCTTGTCAAATTAAAAATTAATAATATTTATTATTATTATCATTAAAAATTAATGATAATGATAATTTAACAATAAATGAGTAATAAATCAATGTCGTTACCAAAACGACTGCAAAAAAAAAAAAAAAAAAAAAAGGTTGAATAAATGCAAATAAATTGTCTTTTTAATAGTCAAGCAGAAAGTTTTCAAGAAACAAAATTCCCTGCCCTGAGATCTAAATTAAATTTAATATCATAATAATTCATAATTGCCATAAATATGTTAATTAACGACAAAATTTTTTTTTTTTTTTTTTTCCCCAACTTTTTTTTTATAAATTTCATAATTATAATACTACTAATTTTATTTTTGAATTTTCTTTAGGGTTGTTTGTTTAAATTTAATCCACCATCATATGCATAATCGGCCTTATTATGCATAACTAATTTATCATCCACAAAATAAAAGCTGTCCGATTTTGTTTCGAACGGATGCGAAATCATTTCTTTCACTAAAAAAAAATTTACATATAGGTGTATTTAAAAAAAAACAGAAAATAACATATAATTAATAATCATGTGTTTTTTTTTAAATAGGATTAATTACCTAGCTCTGGATCTAAAACTGGAAATTCATATATGTGTTCACAAGTATTTTTGCTATTAGGTATACAAAAACCAAAATCGAAATCGAATGTTTTTAAAAGCTTGTTTCTAAAAAAGTGACGTTCAATCATTCTAAAATTATGAATGGGTTGAGCTCCAACAGTAAATTCCACCCTAAAAATTCATTGTATTTAATTAATTATCTTATAATTTTTATTTTTAATTACTAAATTAATAAAATTTAAAAATCTTACGTTGCTCCAACAGTCTTCAATTTAAGAAAATGTGGAGTAAACTGATACCTTACAAATCTACCCGCATTAGGATCTGACTCTTCAATTTCGCTGTCTCCTTCATGCTCATCTGTATCTAATACATAATTGTTATCGATTTAAATATATCATGCATTAACCTATTTTATTATTCTTTAACATTATTGAGTATTTTATTAAATTACCACACAAGTTACTTACCAGATGAAGATATTGTAGGTTTGGCTATCTCAAATAAAACAATTCCAGTTCCCAAATCCCTAATTTTAAATCTGGTAAAGTCGATTTGATAAATATTTGCTTCCGGAGTGCAAAGGTAACAATCCGTAATTTTTGATAAGCGTAAAACATCTTCTGGAGTAACGTATTCCTTATTTTGCAGGTATTCTTCAGTCACTAAAAATATAAAACATTTTTTTTTATTAAGTTGCTTGGTTTTGTAAAAAAGTAAACATTGCAATTAGTTACCAGGTTCAAACATTGTTTCTTTTTTTGATTTTGTACTTCTGATTCCAACATTATTTTTCTTTATCGGAGCGTTATTACTTACAACACTCATTTCGTAGATGATAAACTTAACTAAAAAATTTTTCACCTTTTTAATAAATATATTAATTTTTTAAATAAACTATAGCCCCAGTATATTTTAATTTAGTAAATTTAATATGTCAGTCGTCTGCTTTAAAGTGACACCTTTTATCGAGATGTATTCAAATCATTTTAAAACCTTTTAGTTATTCCTTGCAAAAATTTAAATTAACTTTTCCGTTTAAAAATTGTTATAGTTGTTTTTTTTTTTTTTTTAAATGTATTGTGTAGGATTACAAAATAAATAAATTAACGTACAAATCATTAAATTATTATAATAACAAACAATGATAAAATTTAATTGATTCAAATATTATAAACTTTAACAATACTTTTAATGGAGTCTTACAAAACTTTAGGTTAGTAAAAACTAATACTTTTTTTTTAACGTAAAAATACTAATAATTAATTTACATTTCATTTTATTTACTAATTTAAGTTAATAATTTCACACTTCATTAGTTTATTTGTATTTAAAACAAAAAAAAATGAACACACTCATTTCTAAATAATAAAATCTAATAAATAAAATTTGTCAGGGGGTAATACTGCATAAAATTAGGCACTCTTAAGGTTAGTTACAAAAAAAAAAAACATTACAAAACTGTTTTCTATTTTACTCCAAATCTGGCATATCAGGATCATCTGCCGCAGAACTCTGAGCTAAATTATCAGAATTATCAATTTTTTTAATTAATTTTAATTCTTCTGCCATTTTTAAAGCCTCATTGGCTAAATCTTTAATTTTTGTGTCATTTAATTTGGTCAACGCCATAAGAACATCCATGACATTAGTTTCTATTAATTTTTTTGCTAATTCAATATCATGCTTGAAAATATTCATGACAATGGCTAAACCTCTATGTTGAATAGCAGAATTTTGATTTGAAAGTAAATATTGAAATATTTCCAGCCAGTTTGTCACATTGAAAAGTTTTTTGCAACATATTTTACTGACGGAAGTTAACATTGCTAGAGCCCCAGATGCTGCCTCCACTGTTTCCAAATCTTCTTCAAAACAAAGCAAAAATAAATATTTTGTCTTATCATTTTCTCCTTCGTAATTCTCTATAATGCTTTCTTCAACGATTAGGTTGGTTATAACCTGCGTGGAAGCTCTTCGAAGTAGAACATGATCTTCAAACATGTATGCTTCAATTTTGTGCAAACCATTTTCTTTTAAAATTCTTTGTCTCACACTCGAAGACACTGATGCAAGATTACAAAGGGCCATTAATGCTTCAAAATTTTCTAGGGCACTACAATCTGGATGTAGTAAATTTAACAAGGGCCGAATGACTTCCAGCATACGTTGTCCAGGAAAAGCAACCTCTGGGTTGATGGATATTCCGATTCTGGCCAATGCTTGAGATGCTTGTTTTTTTCCATTCTGCGTACCTTTCAATGACAAAGGTAATAACGCCTGGAAATTAATAATAAGGATTGAATTGTTAAATTATGTAAGTAGTAATAATTATTGTAGATAATGCAATTAATTACATATAATCAGATTATTAAAATTACCTTGGCACCCCCTTGTTGAACAACCAAACCCCTTAGATCTTGCTGGCCACATATTGCATTAAAAACTCTACTAATTAATTCTTTCGAATTATCACTGTCTGTCTTTGCTAAAGCAACCAAAGCTGGTGTAATACCTTCTTTAGCTAAAATTTCAACTCTTTTCGTAACAAAGTCTGGATCGTCAAATTCATGCTCCTAAAAAATTTTATTTTTTTCAATAAAAAGTAATTTAATATTATTTTAAATTTAATAAATGTAAATAGACCAACTTGAGGGATATGATGTTTTGCAAACTTTGCCAATTCGACCATTTCTGGCAGTATTTCTTGCTTTTCATAAGCGTTCACCAAATTAACGAACGTGGTTACAACCCCGTAAACAACCATTTGTTCACCACTTTTTGCAAGCTCTAACAATGCTTGTAGGGCACGTTTATCTTCGATTAGAATTTCTAAAAAAGTTCAATGAAAGTTTATGTATCATTTAGGTATCATTGCAATTAATATTAGTCGATTTTTTATAATAGTAAATATATTTTACCTTTAACTTCTGCATCTAATGTTAGATAACTGAGTCCCTCCGCGGCCCATCGTCTAGAATCTATATTTTTAGAATTATCAATTAAATATCTTCTGCATGCCTCTGCAAGTTTTTTAGTAACACCTTCTTCTAAAGGTCTAATACTAGCATCAGAACCACCACTCGCTCCCAATTTGCACAGTCCTACCAGAGCTCTCACTTTAATACCATCATCATTAGAATTGTATAATTTTTTTAAAATGCTGACGCCTTGACTTACTATTGTAGACACCTTATCTTTTTTTGATGCAGCGGCTATGATGCATTCACATGCTACCTATATTTCAAAAAATAATTTCTTTATCTATTACTCTGAATTATTTAAACGACTAAAACATGGTAAAAAAAAAAAAAATTTGATTACTCTTTGATGTAAAACATTCTCCGATGCAGCCATGGCTAAAATCATTTCTATTTTTCCCTCTTTTGCAATTATTGTATTTCCAACATCGACCGGACCCAAAAGTAAAGCAGTGATGGCAGAAATTGCACATACTTTATCATCCAAATCGGGACTCAACCATTGTTCTTTGATAAACTCTTCTACAGAATTTAAATAACTCTGTCGAGCCTAAAATTTATTCAAATAGTAGTTTTAAAAAATTAATAATAATATCGACAGATGATTAGAATCACCATAAAATTATTTTTATAATTCAAACATTATACTTTGTCATAATACATGTTCTCGTAGATTCTACTCAAGCAAACTGATGCTATATTTTTAGTGTTATTCGTTATTTCCATAGCAGACTCATATTTAAATTCTTGTAAATGAGAAGAAACTTTCAAAATTCTTTGAACGCCACCAATTTCGACTAAACGTTCCGCCCAGTTAATAGCAGTGTAATGAACATTACGAGTAATTAATTCTAAAATAGCATCTCTTGCCAAGCCTAAAAATGAATCAAAGATAACAATGCTTTATAAACAGTGTTTTTTTTGAATTACCAAAAATAGTTAAATGTTTTATAATTTAGTTTATTTAAAAAATTATATGAATAATATATAAAATTTAAAAAAAAAAAAAAAAACCCTCGACAATATTACCTGATAAAGTGCAACTGGTTGTACTATTCACCAAGGCAGTTAAAACTTCATCAATTTCTTTCATATTTTCTTTACATAATTCTTCATTAGGTTTACTATCAATTTTGTTGTCAAGTCCACTGAGTGTATTTAAAATGGTCTAGAATGTCAAATTTTAAAGTTTTCCTTACACCTGTCTTATTTATTAAAAAAAAAAAATTTAATTTTGTTTTTACCTGAATGCAATATTGTCCAGCACTGACTTTTTCAGCATTTTTACTGTTAAGCAAATCGATAAACCAGTTGATTCCTAAATCTTGCATTATGAGTTTCTTCACTTTAAAAACATCCACTTTGCATAATTCGGAAATGATTCGAATTATAGTCACTTCAATACTTTCATTTTTTTCCGATTTAAGCAAGTTAACTAATTTGGAAAATTCATTCCAAATAATCTGTCCCCCTAAAATTTATGCACTAACGTATTAAAAACTAATTTTTTCAATTAACATTTATACTAACTAAAAAAAAATTGAAATTAACAATAAATTACCTGTTTTTTCTCTGGCCAAAGTCAATAAATTATTAAAAGCTGTTTCCCTTTTTTCGCCAACTACTTCCGAGTTATTTATTAATTCAAACATTTTATGTACTTTATTACTTGTTAAATTATTTTCATATTGTCGTTTTTGTACTATTTTATGAAGTCTTTCCAAGACTGGTTGAATTGCTTTGTTTGTTGGCTCACATTCGAGTACAGCTCTAGCATCTCTGTATGCTTCTTCATATCTAAAATTTCATTTATGAAAATGTAACTTGTGTAATACTTCATTCCTAATATCTTTTACCTTATTCAAATTTACCATAAAACCCATTATTAGACTTCATCTTCTAACCTTTCTAAATATTCAAGTGCTTGACATCTTCGAAATAAAGCCTTCGGATCTTTGGGTAAAATTTCGAGTGCAGCATCAGCATCTTTTACAGCAAGTTCATAATTTTTTAATTTGATGTGAGCAGCAGCTCTATTTTTATAATACACTGCTTTTTCAGCAGATTCTTCCCGGGTGCATTCGATAGCATTGCCGTACAACTTAACAGCAGCTTCGAAATTGTTATTTTTAAACTGCAGATTACCTTCTTCCTTAAAGTCAACAGCAGAAAGTAATTTTTTGTTATCTGAACAAGAATTCATTTTGCAAGTGATAAAAAGACTTTAAAAAAACAATTGGAACACAATATTTTTTGTAGTTAAATTTTAAAAAAAATTTTACATAATGATTTTCAAAATGCAAGGTTTATAATTAGAAAAGTGAAACTGAAATAGTAAAAGTTCGAGCTTTTTAATAAGCATGTGCTTTTGTTGTCTTTAATATGTTTTTGTAATGTTTTGAAACATTCGGCGTAAAATTTCTAAAATTATTTGTAAAAGTTGGGTACAGAATAACTTGTGTAAAACAGGTAATTTTATTCAGTTATCTCGGATTTAATAAAAATTATTGAAATTTTGTAATATAAAACTAAAATATTAAATCTGGATTAAAAACAAGGCATTTTACTTAAATGTTAATTCATTATAATTAGAGTTAGTATGGCGGTAGTGGGTGTTTTCTTAAAATGACGCTTATCTCAATTAATTTGAATAAATAATTTGACAATATTTTCAAAGTATTAAATTAATAATTATTTAAAACGAGATGTAAAATGCTTTGGAGTTTATTAAATTTTAAGAAATTTAAAAAAAAAAGAGAATTTAAGAATTTAAATACTGCAAATTTAAACTGATTCAATTATTTTTTTTTTTTAAATAAATTCAAATAAATTTTAATATAGTTATTACAGTGACAATTAAATACTATTTGGGTTAAGTTTTCTTTTGTGAATGTTAACATTCTTTCATCTTTTCAATAAGCTTTATTTTAACAAATTATTTTAAAATATTTTATTTAATAAACTGTACTGCATCTTTTTATGACAGTAATTTCAGTAAAAAGTTTTAATTGATTGTTCTATTTAATTATATTTAATTTTGTTGCAGATTAAAAAATACATAACTAATAATTATTATTATTATTAAATCGAGGAATAAAAATGAACGATGATAAAGAAGAACTTTTAAATGAACTTTTACAAGTTTTGTCAAGGTGTTATGGAAGTGATAAATTTAGTGATTTAACGATAAAATTAAAAAATGGGGTTTTCAATGCTCATAGATTAATTTTGTATGCGAGAGGTGATAATTGGTCGACAACCCCATTGTCACAAATTAGTAGTTTAAACTGGGAACACATTGATGCCGAAATAAGTATAGCAATATTAAAGTGGGTTTACACATTTGAAATTGATTTGCCTTCAAATGAAGAATTTGTTTTAAATTTAATGAAAAATGCGGGTTCATTTAAATTAAAAAATTTGTGTAAAATATGCGAAAGAAAATTAATCGAATTTAGTTGCTTTGATAATTGTATCAAATTTTATACAATCGCCGGTGAAATAGGTGCAACACTGTTAAAAAATCATTGTGCCGGGTTAATCAGTAGAAATTGGAGTAGTTTCACTGCCAAAGATTTTAAAGATACTAATGCAAAATGGCTTTATCAACTATTGAAAACAAATGCCGAATATCCGCTACATTCTGCAGTCAAATTCCAAAGATTAGATTTAGTTGAATGGCATTTAAATGAAAACAAAGGAGAGGTGAGTGAAAACATTTATCAATTATACAACATTTATTCTTTAAGTAATTAGAAAATATATATTTTTCATTTGATCAAATTTGCATAATCGCATATGGACATAACACAAAATAATTATGAAATTTTGTCTCGCCGCTTTACTCAAGACATATTAAACATGCATTTTTTATTTTTGTGACAAATCAAATATATTAAAAAGCTACTTTACATCTTAATAATTTATCAAGCCATGATTAACATGATTTTTTACAATTACTTTTTCCCCACAGTTACAAATTAAGTTTTATCGTTTTAAATTTGTTTTTAATAGTGATGAAATCTTTTATTCGAAAACAATTTAAAAAAAAAAAAAAATATTATTTTATATACATGTATATATATATCACAAAATAATTATCTTATCTAAGACTTCTTATATATTTGACAGTATTAAATACGAATATCACAGTCATAACATCTGTATGAGATAAATTATCTTTTGTAGATTGAGCACTGTTGCACAAATTGCTATCACAGTAACAATACAATTCGGAATTTGTTCTTAAACCTGCACTATTATCCGTTTCCTGACACCCGGATTTGTAAATATCTTTCTGAACGGATTCTTCCATTCTCCATTGTCCTTCGACATAGGTTTGATGTACATATTTTTGAGGAGCACAGTCTCTAACCGATATTTCAACTGATTCTGTAAAAAAAAAAGAGAAATTTTTAAACGCAGTCATTATTATTTAAAAAAAAAAAAAAAAAAAAGTTTGTATTTAATTTTAGACTTACTACCATCCTGTAGAGGGAGATTGAATGTTTTTTTCATGCAAAATGTCGAATATGGACAATCAACAATGTATTTTCTAGAATAGTCAAATTGTGAACATAATTTTGACGTTTGATTTGACGATTGTGGGGGGGGTATGGTACATTGGTAACAAGACAAACTAACGCAGTTCGTTACTTTAAAAAAAAAACAAAAAAAAGATTAAATTTTTTTTTGTTATTTACACGCCCCCCCCTACTTTTTAATAATTTAAAAGACAAAAGAAAAATAAGTTTTGTGATAAAAAAGATAAGTATTCATTTTATGATTTTGTTTTTCCCGCAAAGTTTAGGCCGGAAAAAAAAAAATTAAAAAAAAAAAAAAAAAAAATTTAGGACATCCGTTTAAAAAAAAAAAAAAAAATCGAAAATCCCCCTCGAAAAATGTTTTTTTTTTTTTTTTATCTAATCGAAAAACACAGAAAATTTCGCATTCGTATATCTACGTAAATTGAGTCGACATAATTTTTTTTTTTTTTTTCACTTTTTTTATCTGTGATAAATAATGTAATATTTTTAAAAAAAAAAAAAATTATTGGATTTAAATACTTTAAAAATATTTAAAAATTTTTATTTAACAAAGTTAAAAGTTTCAAAAGGGGAAAAACATGAAAATTTTTTACAGGTTTTCGAATTTGAGAAAATTTTTTTTTTTTATTGATTTTTTGTTTATCCTTTCCTAATTCGACACATTTTTTTTTTTTTTTTTTTTTTTGTTTAATGCTTCAATAGTTTATTACAGGAAATTAAAAAAATTGTTTTCCAACTTTTTTCTGTAAACGCAGGTTCGCAGGTTTTTTAATTCAGGGAACGGTAATTTTTTTTAAAAATAACCTTCGAACTTTTAATAACTCGACCTCGGTTTTATTTTTTTTTTTTTATTTTGGCATGTTTTTTATCTGTAAATCAAAAAATCCTACATTTGATTCCCTGTCAAATTTATTTATTTATTTATTTTTTTCACAAACGTTTTCAATCAAATAAATAAAAACTCACCCGATTGCAGTAAAAGAGCTGCAGTTAGTAATATGGAACCGTTTTCACTAAAAAAAGGCATCCTCCACATTTTTTCTTTTTTTTTTTTAAAAAATATATAATTACAAATTTTTCGTTACACGTAATGCGACAGCTTAAATGCTGTCGCTCGATTTAATTATGAAATCCTATCAACTCATCTGCAAAAATAAAAATTTATGTATAAACGACTTTGAAACAAAAAAAAAAAGTAATTTTTGTTCAGTTTCTCTAGGGGGGAAAATATTTATTAAAATATAAATAATTATTTTTAAAAGAAAACATAAACCTTTAGGTTCTTTAGGTTAGGCTCTAATATTTATAACCTTGATTTGACATAAATAATAATAATAATAATAATTGTTTGTCGAATGTCGAATAAATATGGTTTTTGTCGTTTTTAAGAGAGAAAATATCGTTGAAAATTTTCTAGTTAATAATAATAATAATAATAATAATAATGTGTAATTAATTCGTTGGTTTTCCATTTTGATTTTCCAAAAATAGAAAAACAAATGAAATCATTTCGAAAATTCAACGTACTTTTTAGTTTTTTACCTTTTCAGACTAATTTTTTTTTGTCTAAAAGTTTATTAATAAACGTTAAATTCAATTTTAAATTTAAATTTTCGGTTTAATTTCGATTTAGTAAGTCATGACATAATATTTTATTTTTTTATTTTTTTACCGATACATATTTATTTTAATAAAAAAAACTTACGATAATTAATTAATTGTAGTAGGTTTTTTTTTTTTATAATATCGAATTCGTTAAAAAATAAGTCACTGTCATTTTTTTTAAAAATAAAATGAGCGTCGTCGTCGTATTTCTGTTAACGTCCGACATATTTGTTGTTTAAAATCCGTGAAGGAAAAAAATTAATTTTATCTGTTTTTTTCCCCCCTCGGTGTTCAGTTTACGTGACTACAATGAATTTTCTATTGATTTGATAATTTTCCAAAAAAAAAATTTCAGACTTTTTGTCGTCACAATTTGTTTGTTTTTAGCAAGTTTAAAAAAAAAAAAAAAAAAAAAAGAAAAGAAAATTCAAAATGGAGGATTTGAATCAAATTTTTTACGATTTCGTCAGAAAAATTAACCGACGGTTACGCACATTTTAAATGTTTTAATTTAACCCCATCATCGAATTCATTAACTCGTTCGTTGTGATTATTATTATTATTATTATTATTACGTCTTCCGTTTAAAATCCAAAATGAAATTTTCTTTTTTAAAAAAAAAAAAAAAAAAAAAAAAAAACCTAAAGTCAAATTTGAAATTTTTCAAGGTTTATTTAAGATGTCGAAGATGTAGAAGAAAAGAGTGAAAGGTTGTGTGATACGAAGGTTGTTAGGTTGGCAAATAATTTCAACCTAATAAAACTTGATTTTTTTGTGCTTTATTATTATTATTATTATTATTTTGCTTTTGCATACAAGACTAAATATGTAAAAAATATGACAATGAAAAGTTGATTTAGTTGCAAAAAAAAAATGACCTAGTAACATTTTAACCCATATATATATATATAAAATCGAAGGATGGTCAATTTTTTTTTTAGCTGCGATTTAATGGGGTTGCAATGTCAAAGGTTAATTTTTAAATAGGTTAATAATTTCACTTTTTATTTTATTTTATTTTTAATAAAGGATTAAAAAAAAGGTCTGTAAAAGGAAAAGATGACGAACGGATTGTTTGTCACCCTCGTTAGTTGTTTAATTTAAAAAAATAAACCGTTTATTAAGCGTTTATTACCATTTATAAAGCTGAGAGAATAAATAAATAAATAAATAAAAGTTTTGAATGAAATTAATAATGTACATGTATATAGAGTTTGTTTCCCCCCCCGTTCCCCTCCCCCGCACCCACCCCAACGGGAAAATCAATTTTAATGTGATCGTGTTTCCCCCCCCCTTCTAGAAACAATCGCGAATATATGTAATAAAATTATTATTATTATTATTATTATTATTTTTAACGACGGTTAAAATACGGTTACAAAATTATTATAACTGTTTATTACGGCGGGTAATGATGAAAAGGAAAATGGGGGGGAGGGGAGGGGAAATGAATTTGCGTGCTCCTTGGTTAATTTTTATTTTTTTGACGTTTCGCTTACGGAATTAAATTTAAAAAAAAAAAAAATAAAAATAAAAATTTTCCTCCGATGATGTCGTAAAACGATTTTCGCATCGGAAAATTTGTGAAAATCGTCGTTATGTAAATATATATAATTATTTTAATTGGTTTACAAAATTTTCTTTTTTTCAAAAGTAATAGTCGTTAAATGTTTTTCCACGGAAATTTTCTTTTATTTAAAATTGACCATCTCAGTCAGTCACTGATTGATTGATTGATTGATTGATTGACTCATGAACGAGAGTCTTTCTTAGTCATTCATTCAGTTGAAAATTCTTTTTTTAATATAGATTTTCACGTTATTTATATGGGAAATGGAAAGTTATTATGACGTGTATTAGTCGAAGGCCATCACGGTTATCAGAGTGTGAAAATTTTTTTTTTTTTTTTTTGAATACTTTTAACATATGAAAAATAATAATAATAATAATAATAATAATAATAATAATAATAATAATAATAATAATAATAATAATAATAATTACATTACAAGTTCAAAAAACTGCACAGTTCATTACGGTTGTTTTTTTTCTCTCTCTCTCTCTCTCTCTACCATGCGTAAAAATGTTGTCAAATTTATTATTATCATTATTATTATTACATTCTCTCTACCCATGGGTACCTCATTTTTTTCTTATTCGAGAGTAAAGAAAAAAAAATTTTAAATGTAAAAAAAAAAAAAAAATTAAAGGTGAATCAGAATCACAATGCGAATCGCGTCCACGCAAATAATAATAATAATAATAATAATAATAATAATAATAATAATAATAAAATATTTTTTTATAAAAAAAAAAAAATAAATATTCATTATAAATGTTACTCACATAATAGGTAGGGTGTATGTTTTCTCTCGATATATGGCATTGCCATAAAGCCTACAAACGAGATTTTTCTTTTATGTCGTCCACATAAAATATATATATCCTGTTTTATTTGAAAAAAAAATAAAATAAAATAAAAAAATTTTTTTTTAAATATGGCGACAAACCCGGTCGTGAATTCACTTTACCAAAAATAATAATAATAATCCGTTTGTTTTAATAAAAATATATACGTGCATTTTTTTTTTTTTTTTTTTTGTTTAAAGATCAAAATAACATTGGTTTAAAAATAAATATTTATTAATTTTATTTAATAAATTGGTTACCGGCTTTTATTATTATTATTATTATTATTATTATTATTTAATGAATTATTTATTATTGTTACGAATCGTTATTGACCTCATTTTTTAAGTAAAATGACAAATAATTATTAGGAATTGCCTTTTTTTTAATTTTATTTTATTTTATTTAAAAAATAATATATTTTTTGTTTTTTGATGAAAAATAATTTTTAAAATAGAATCGGGGGAGGGGGGGGGGGAAGGAAAATTTTTAAATTTACAAACCTTTTTTTTTTTTTTATTCATTCATAATGATTCATTTTTTTCTTATGCTTTTTTTTTTTGTCGTTTTATATATTTAACTGATAATTAACTGTTTTTGTTCTTTGCACTGCACTGCACTGCACGCACACGCACACTCACGCACATATAATTAGTGATTACACATGCATGTGTGGATATATATGTGCGTGTATATCACGTTGATAAAAAAAAAAAAAAAAAAAAAAATGAATTCGATGCACATTTAATAAAATCTCTCGACACACTGACTCAATTGAAACATGTGGTTACGATGAAAACCGAGTTCTTATGTGCAATAACCGTGATGGTGATGGTGATGGTGATGGTGGTAGTGGTGGTGGGAGATCAGCTGTCTATTTAGTTTTGTGGTCAATGACTTGCCCTTGTAAATGTTTTTTTTTCTTCTTCTTTTTCTTCTTCAATTATAGGAAGTAACGGTTTCCTCATATTAAAATTATTAAATATTTTTGTGTTTCCTTTTGTAAAAAAAAAAAAAAAAAAAAAATAATACTTTTCTTGGATTTTTTTTCGTAATAATAACACATATATGTCTTGGATTTAATTTTTTTTTTTTTTTTTTACAGGTAGCCAAAATAATAAATCAATTGGATAAAGATGGAAATTTACCGCTCGGTTTGGCTTTGTCCGATAAGCAAACGCCCATAGCTAAAATATTATGCGAATTTAAAGCTGACGTGAATGCAAAAGATCAAAACGGTTGGAGTCTTTTGCAAAGAGCCATACAAAGAGGTATAAATTTTGATTTTTGGCTTATTATTATTATTATTATTATTATCGGATAAAGTTTGTCGTTGGAGGGGTTCAAATCATACGAAGAAGTTTATCTGTTATAATATACATAAAGTTGATAAATCACGTTAGAGCATATATATATATATATATATATATATATATATACCTCGTCGCCATTAATTAAATAATCGATCATCCTCCTAATTTTTTTTTTTTTTTTTTTTCAAAGGCGATGATTATTCTGCCGAATTTTTGATATCCCACAACGCGGATGTGTTTTGTGTGACACCGGAAACGTTGGACACGTGTCTTCATTTGGTTTGTGCTCACGGTGAATCCATACTTTCGTGCGACGAACCCAATGGACATTTTTCTCCCGTTGGATCTTTTAAAAATGAAATTTCCCTGGATATCACAAATAAAATGGCTCACATTGCGAAAATTTTAATCGAAAAGGGGGTTGATCCGTCGAAAAAAAATGCTGTCGGATTGTGAGTGATCAAGCTCCATTTCAATCGTATTTTTTTTTTTTTTTTTTTTTTTTTTTTTTAATCGAATTTATTTCCAGCACTCCTCTTCACGTGGCCATAATGACAAAAAATGCAAAAGTTTTTAACATTTTACTGGAAGAAGAATCCGTGGATGTGAATGCTAAAACTGCAAAAGGTTTTCCTCCTTTGTGGTATGCTTTGTATCAAACAAAACATTTTGATGGTGAAAGTTTTGCAAAAAAATTGCTGCTCAAAGGCGCCAAAGCAGATATTGTAAGTGTGTGTGTGTGCGTGCGTGTGTGTGTGTGTGTGTAATAAATTTAACATGCGTAACTAATCATTCATGGATTGAAAATCGATTTGATTCGAGAATGATTGCATAATTTAAAATCAATTTTTTAATTCACATAAACAACTTGTATAATAAATTCTTTTGTTTTTTTTTTTTTTTTTTTTTTCACAATAGGTGTGTTCGGATAAAAGCGAAACTCTATTGCAATTAATTATATTAAAAAATTTTGAAAATGCTGCCTTATTTCTTTTGGAATACATTCCTTCTGACGTAGTCAATGTTAATCACATGAATAAATACGGAGAGACTGCATTGCATTTGGCCACGATATTCGGTCATACTAGATTAGTTTTAAATTTATTAAAATTAGGCGCAAATGTTAATATTGAAACCATTTCGTCGAAGAGTACAAATTTTCAAAATGGCGATGAATATTCGGGGTAATTTTAATTATTACAATTTATAAATCGATGGAGGTAAAAAGTAATAAGATTCATTTCAATTATGTAATTTGTATAATTTCTCAGATATAAACACACTTGTCTTCATTACGCAATAATTCAACGTCAAATTAAAGTTTTAGAAGTTCTTATAAATTATCATTTGGAAAATAAAACATCCAAATACAGTTTGGATTGTAATTTAAAAGACTCAAAGGGCAACACACCCTTGTCTTTATCAATCATCCAAAGATTCAAGGAAGCCATACCATTATTATTGAAAGGAGGAGCTGATATCAATGTGAAAAATTCAGAAGGATTAACAGTTTTGCATCAGGCAATTATAAACGGTTTAAGTGATATTGCAATTTTTTTGTTGAATAACGGAGCCGACATTAATTTAACGTAATAATTTTTTTTGTTTACGTTTGAAAATTAACGTAACGTTAATTAAATTAAAGTCTGCACGATTTCAAATAAAAAAAAAAAATGTTTATAATTACAGAACCAAAGATGGATTGAGTCCACTTCATTTAAGCATAGATCATCATCTGCCAAATGTGGTCGATGCCTTATGCAGGCATGGAGTTGACATGTCCGTTCCTAATCAGAGAAAGCAATGCCCATTATGGGCCGCATTATCGAGTGGACAAGACGATATCGCTCTTATTCTCGTTAGGTATAATTGTAAAAAAAAATTACCTTAAATGAGTAAAAAAAAAAAAGAAAAATAAAACTAATTTTAATTATTTTCTTTTACAGAAATGGCGTCGATACGGATGCTTGGGGAGAAGGACCCGAAGGATGCTATCAAACTTTGCTACACAAAGCCATCGATGAAAGTAGTCAACACATAGCAAAATTTTTAATTCAAAATGGATGCGATCTTGATACTCCAAGGCGGTAAGTATAATATCTAAGAGGTTTTTTTCAATTAATGAAATTAAAAAGAAAACATTTTAATGAATTTTACAATTTTTAGACCCTCTCCCGAAGGAAAGGGAGGAGATGAATCTCATGATGGATGCACACCTTTACATTTATGTTGTCAATGGGGTTTGGTAGATGTCGTTCAAACTTTACTAGAACATGGTGCTTTCATAAATAAAACGGTGAGAATCAAAAAAAAATTTTTTTTTTTTTTTTTTTTTTTTTTTTTAATAAGTAAAGTTTTAATAATTAATTATAATTTTTGTTCAAGGATTCCGAGGGAAAAAGTCCGTTACATTTAGCCATCGAAAACCAACACAAAGACATAATCTCACTTCTTTTATGTCATCCAAGTATAGATTTGACAATAAGAGATAAAAAAGGTTTGACTCCGTTTGCTGCAGCTTTAACTTTCAGGAATAACAAAGCGGCTCAAGCCATTTTGGATAAATTACCGTCAGCAGCAGAACAAGTAAATATTTTCAAATTATTAAATTTTGTATATTTTAATAATAATAATAATATTTATTATTTCGTACGTTTTTTTTTTTTTTCTCTTTCAGTTTAACAATAAGGGCCAAAATTTTCTCCACGTAGCTTTACAAAATAATCAAGTTGAAAACGTTTTATTTTTATTGTCAATAAAAGTGGATGTTAATTCCAGAGTGAAAGATTCCACACAAACTCCTCCCCTTCATTTGGCGGCTGCAGGAGGAAATGAAGTTCTCGTTAGAAGTTTAATTTTATCTGGTGCAAAAGTTGGTACCATTTGAAATGGGTCATGGTTTTCTCTTATTATTATTTTGGATAAGTTTATTTTTTTTTTAATAGGTTAATGAAGTTGACGGTTACAAACAAACAGCATTGCACATTGCTGCCAGCAAGGGTCACGCCGTGGTTGTGAGCGCTTTGCTACAAAATGAAGCTTTACCGGATCTATGCGATACGGATGGTAACAATCCTCTTCACATTGCTTGCAAAGAAGGTCATCTGGCAGTAGCCAGGTACGTAATTAGTTTTTTTTTCATATATTGAAAAAACAAAATGAGTTTTAGTAATTTAAAAATGATTTCCCCTCCCTCCTCCCCCCATTACGAATATAGAGTGCTTTTGACGGAATCGAATTTAGAAGCCGATATGATTAACATAAAAGGTCACAATCCATTACACGTACTCGCTATTTACGGTAAAGAAAATGCTGCCGCCATTTGTAATCTTTTCATCGAGACAATATCCGATTTTCCATTAGATAAACAAGACTTGGATGGGAATACAGGTATTCGATTTGAAAATGAATTAACCATCGATACAAAAATTTATTTCGATAAAATTAATTTTTGTTTATTTGTTTCGTTTTAGCTTTGTTGCTTGCCTACATGAAAGGAAAGGGTAACTTGTGTAGATGTTTGGTAAAAGCGGGCGCATGTTTGGGTTGCATGAATCGTGACGGCGTCACTTTATTTAATTATCAAGTTGCCACAAAACAATTGCTTACAAGTCTTTTGGACAGTTTGGAACGCGAACCTCCCTGGTCCACGGGTGATATATGTTTAGAATGCGGGAATGAATTTAAATTTACGATGAGAAGACATCATTGGTAGGTTGCAATCATGATTTTTTTTTTTTAATGTTTCTCAACGTCTTTCAAAAATTGATTTGTCCGTTTAAAAATTTTTTGTTTTCTTTCAGCCGCCATTGTGGCCGTTTATTATGTCATAAATGCTCAGAATTACATACGCCAATAATAAAATTTAACATATGTAGACCGACTAGAGTATGCGAAGTTTGTTTTGAAGTAATTCAAGGAGGAGCTTCTTAACTAAACAGTTATTTAAATTACAAAAATTGTTACTAATTTTAATTTTTAATTATTAAAAAAAAAAAAAAGAACATCAATATTTAAATTAATGAATAAATGTTTCATTTTGTGCTTAAGCTTAAAAAGTGTCATTAGAATTTTTTTTAGTAACAAAAAAAATGTGTAACGAACCAAGGAATAAAAAAATTATTATTATTATTATTATTATTATTTTTTTTTATATTAACAAGTTTTTGCTTGTTTTTAATAAAAGCATAGCAGAATTCTTGTTAATCGGAAAATTGTGATATAATATTAACAGTGAAAAGTCATGAAGGATTATGAAAATTTAATAATTATTTTTGTATATTTATTAAGTTGTTTTGTTTAATTTAAATCAGTTTATTATTATTATTATTTGTTTTTTTCTTTAACTCAAGGCAAAATATATTATTTATCAAGAAATATTTATATATATATATATATATATAGGTTTATTTAATAAAAAAAAATGTCAGTTTGGCTTCAAATTTTTACATACTTAATTATATTGAATTAATAATTCATCATTTATTACATCCTATCAATGAAATATTTATATGTATATATATAAATAGTTTTTTTTTTTTGTAAATTTGCAATTACAATTTTCTATTTTAAGAAAACTAACAAATTTTTTAATTAAATAATGTTTCTACTAAATTATTTTGCTGAAAAACTAATATATAAATTTCATCACATTAAAAATAAAAGTTAATTATCAGATTTCGAAATAAATTAAAAAATCCATTCTTGCTTACATTTTATAAATTCTATGAAAAAATTTATATGTAACTTTATAATGTGAAAATAAAAAAAAAAATCAAAAGGAAACGAATCATTTTTATAAAAATTTAAATTGTAGTAAATTTCAGCAAAATAATGTGTTTCATTTCATACGAGTTTATTTCAATTTAGAAAATAAATCTTTTGAAACACAGTGATCTAAACAATTAACAAAATCAATCATTTCTTCATGACAAGATTCAGCTGTTTTGGTTCTAGATGTTACTCTTTCATTACATTCTTCCAATTTATCATACCATTTGGCACACTCACCATTCTGACATTGGTGCTAATAATAAGAAATTTAAAACGTTAACTTAAAATTTTAATGGTCAACTTAATTGGTATTATTTATTTTTAAAGTAGTACTAATGCTACCCTTTGTAAATACTTACCCTTAAATGAACTTGTGGATCTGATGTTTCATCTAAATCATCTGCTTTTACAACTGGAAAAATTCGAGTTAACGAAGAAGAAATCTGAAATAATTGAACAAAGTGAATAAAGTATATTATAAAAATTACAAAACAAATTGTACAAGAAAACTACATTTCTTTATTAAAAGAAATAAAAAAAAAAACACCAACCTTTTTAAAAAATTCTTCCATTTTTTTTTTTTACTAATAAATAACCTTAGTACGATAAGAAAAAATTTAATGTGAAAAAAAATAAGTTAATTAATCTTTAAAAAAAAAAAATAATGTTTCGAAACTTATTTCTCCACGCCTTAATATGCCTTGCGTTAGAAACAGAGTAATGGCTCATCTTTGCATTGAACGCAAACATAATAATGGGTAAGTTTTTATTGTTCTCATACAATTTATAATCTATTTTATTATTTAAATACATAATTGAACATAATATGTACTTGGGATTATTATGTAAAAAATTTTATTTAATGTTTTCTAAATAACGCTTGTAATTATTTAATTAACGATTTTAAATTTGTTCAAATTTTATATAATTTACTATTTAATTTTTAAAAAATTTTATTTTTTACATTTTATTTTAGCTTAATTTTAATTATGGTTCGTATTCATTATGGTAAAAAATAAGTAAAGGGGAAATTTTTTATATTTTAATTAAATAAATACAAACATGTTTACATCTTAGGGTTTCCGCCATCTTGGCGGCTCATTTTTATTGAAATAATTTATATTAAGGGTGACCCAAGAAATGGTTTTCTAATAAGTTAAATTTCCATAATTTCGATTTAAACTCCAGTAAGTTTTATTTGTATCAAAAGTTTTTTTTTTAAATTAGTCTAAACTAACATTTCTAACCTAACCTTAATTGGTTATATTTGTAAACTAAAAATTTCAGTTTTTTTTTTTTTTTTTTTTTTTAAAATAAAGGTTTAAATATTTGTTGTCAAATTATTATCAACAAATAGATTTTTAAATAAGAATTTTTAATTTCACGTTATTAACATTTTTTATAAAAATATTCACAGCAATCAATCAAATTTAAGCAAAATTTACTTTATTCAGTGTTAGAATAACATGTCTAAAAATATTATTATTAAAATTTGTTGTATTGTATTTTTAAATTGTTTTTATTTTTTTCTATAATGTAGTAATATAAAAATATAAAGTTTTATTTTAGATGGTGTAGATGATTTTTGAATATGGAAAATCGAGGGCATCATCATCACCATGGCTCACATGGACATAGTAGTCATAATACAAAAGGCAAAAATTACAAAATGCTCGCTGATCCATTCATAGTAAAAGGAGCGACAAAGCTTTACAGGTATGATGGTCTTGTCCCTGGAGATTCTACATACCCTCCAGTTACTCCAAAAGATCCAAGGCCACCTCTTACATGGATATGGGCCAGAATGGAGACTCTGGATTTACCTGTGCCAAGATTTAAGGTAAAACTACAAAATGTTAAATATTTTGTTTATTCTTTTACATTAGAAAATTTTATTAATTTTTATTTGTTATTAATACAGATTGATTTAAATTATGTTGGAGAACCTCCATCATTGGAAGTAACAGTTTCTAACTTAAATGACAATATTGATAAACAATTTTTGACTGATATGGTAAATAAATTTGGGGAACAAGAAGAGCTCATTATTTACTATCATCCTGTTACAAATAAACATCTTGGGCTTGCTAGAATAGTTTTTATGGAAGTTTCGTCTGCAAAGCAATGTGTGGCCAATCTCAATAATAAATCAGTTATGGGAAAGCAGTTACAAGTTTTTTTAGACCCATTTGGTAAGAAATAATAAAAACATTTTATTAATTTTAAACAATATATTTTTTTTTCATACAAATTATTTCTTAAATTAACTTTTCTTAGTCATAAATAAATTCGACTAATATTTTTGATTAAATGTTGCTAATTATTTTTATACCAATTTAAAAAATTTTTAAATTAATTGATGTCAAGCATTATTTAATTAATTATTTTTCATTTTAGGAGAAGAATGCAGAAAAAAATATACTGAATTAACCGCGGAAAAGAAGCCTACAGTGCCTGAAGTAGACAAGCAAAATTTAGTTCTAGGAGATAAATTGGGACTCGATTCCAAATTGGCCGAGGATACATCTGACAAATTAATAATTGATAAAAATCATGCAAAAGGTAAAGATTTGGACTACTATTCTCCGAGGTATAATGACGACAAATGGGATAGTAGAGACGGAAAGAAAAAAGAAAAACGGGGTAAAAGAGACAAGTATAGAGATAAAGACAGAGATAGAGATAAAAGGGAAGATTCTTATAATCGAACATCACATAGAAGTGATTTTACTTCTAATTCAACATCAACGCCAAATTCTAGTGTTGCGAGTTCAGATCTAGGATACGGTAAGATACAAATTACATATATTTATTTTTTTTTCATTTATTGATAATGTAATAATAAAATTTAAAAAATATTTTTTTTTTAGGAACAGCACCTAGTGAGTCAAATTATCCAAATTTTAGTCATCCTCCTCCAACTCATATTCCCCCTCCTAATCACGTTGTAAGTGGTGTTTACCCTTCATATCCTGCCCCGGCTTTTGCTCCTCCTTTTCATGGGCCTCATCAGGGAGGATACGTACCTCCACCTCCTACACAACATTGGGCTCCTACTCATTGGGATCCCCACTGGGCTCCACCTATTCACCGTCCAATACAACCGCAACCTCCTAATTGGTCGCATCCGCGCCCTCCAGGATTTATCAGTCCTCCTTCTCAAAGTATTAACAACACTACGAGGAAAAATTCAGTTGAGGAAGAAAATACACTCGATTTAGATACCCGAATAGAACTGTTATTAAAAGGAAAAGGTATGTCTCTTCAAAATGCAATTTGAAAAAAAATTTTTTTTTTTTTTTTTCCCACTATTTTGTTATTTTTTGATTTTTAGGAATCGCTCCGCCATTTTTACAATTAGGAATAAGTGATGAATCTGAGAACGAAGATGAGAAATCCAACGAAAGCAAAAAAACATTATCTAAAAGTAAAAAACATGCAAAAGCAGCGAAAGAAGATGTTCCTTCAAAAGCAGAACCATCTCCTCCTCCGCCTCCGCCAGGGGAAGAGCCACCTCCGCCACCTCCAACACCATCACCATCCCCTCCAATAGATCCAGATGCACCTCTTTCAATTCCACCTAGTCCTTTTCTGTCCGAAGAAATTTATCACTACTGGCACGATTTAGCCATCGAAAATATACTGAAAGCCAAATTGAAAGAACTGGAAGAAACTGAAGGGTTGGTTAATAGGTTACATCTTGAATCTGATAAAGTTTCTGAAATTTCTAGTTCTGAGGATGAGATATTATACGGGGAACCGAGCGAATCGCCTAAGCAAATAAATCGGAAAAAAAAAGACGATAAGAATGACGATCAAATGTCATTGTCTAGTCTTAGTTCCGGTGAGGAAAAAATAGAGGACATGTCTTCTGTTAACAATTTCATACCTACTGATCTCTACAGTTCATACACTAATCATTTTAATAGTAATTTATATAACAGTGCATCTAATCAATTTATTGACCATCAAACCAACAGTCAAAATCATTTTATGCCTCCTAGTAATAATTTTGTAAATTTTATGCATCCTCCTCAAAATTTTAATAATGATCCGTACTTTTGGAGGGGGGGTTACGTTCCAGGCTACCCGCCAATGATAAACAACCTGCAAAACGTTCCTAATTTTCCGCCAAATTTTCCTCCTCCAAATGGTCCCTATCAAGGTTCACTGGGTAAAAAAGGAGAAGAGAAGCAGCGTGATGGAGAAAATCCTCATATGGCTACCATACAGTAAGAAAAATTAAAAATTTGATGAATAATAATAATAATTCTTCCTTTTGTTAATTTATTTATTTATTTATTTTTTTGTTATAGTGCCGTCTTTACGAAAATTACGAATGATGTGAAAGCAATT